CCTTGTTCATCTGCTATCCTATTCTCCGTCTTACTCTTAATTCTTTCAATTATAACTCTACCATACACCTTACCAGGTACACTCAACAGACTTATCCCCCTATAATTTTTGCACTCTTCTTTTTATCCCCTTTGCCTTTTTTACAAAGGAACTAAAGCATGCTCTCTGCCAATCCCTAGGTACCTTACCCCCCTTCCATAAAATTTATTAAATAATTGCACCAACCACTCCAAAACTATTCCCCACCGGGTTTTAACATTTCTATCTTTATCCCATCAATCCCGGCTGCCTTACCCCCTTTCATTTTACTACTGCCTCACGAACTTCCCCCACACTCACAACTGGCTCTTCCTCACTCCTACAAGATGTTATTCCTCCTTGCCCTATACACGAAATCACAGCTTCCCTATCTTCATCAACATTTAACAATTCCTCAAAATATTCCCTCCATCTTCCCAATACCTCTAACTCTCCATTTAATAACTCTCCTCTCCTATTTTTAACTGACAAATCCATTTGTTCTCTAGGCTTTCTTAACTTGTTAATCTCACAATAGTATAGTAGTACATGCACAATATATATTGTGCATGTACTACTCTACTAAATGAAGAATAAATGACACTTACCTTTATTGAAGATGCAGCAATGACTGATGAGAGACACTGTGTCCTGGGAATGCCTTTTCCTCCTGAGTACTGTAGGTCCTGTTTGGCATTTTCTTCCAGAACAGGCCTTATCACATTGTGTATGCCACTATGATTCTTAAATCTCTCAAACCAACCTTTGCTGGCTTTAAATTAGCCAATATGAGCACTAGTTCCAGGCATTTTTCCCTGTTCACCTGGGTGTTAGTCGACTGGTGTGGGTTGCATCCTGGGAGACAAGATTAAGGACCCCAATGGAAATAAGTTAGATAGTCTTCGATGACACTGACTTTTTTGGGTTATCCTGGGTGGCTAACCCTCTGGGGTTAATTGTTTCTTGGTATTCTCAATAAGCCACACCAACAATGGTGCTACAGCAGCAGCAGCAGCAGCAGCAGCAGCTGACAGTGCTACAGCAGCAGCAGACGGTGCTACAGCAGCAGCAGACGGTGCTACAGCAGCAGCAGCTGACGGTGATACAGCAGCAGCAGCAGCTGATGGTGATACAGCAGCAGCAGCAGCTGATGGTGCTACAGCAGCAGCAGCAGACAGTGCTACAGCAGCAGCAGCTGACAGTGCTTCAGCAGCAGCTGACAGTGCTACAGCAGCAGCAGACGGTGCTACAGCAGCAGCAGACGGTACTACAGCAGCAGCAGCAGCAGCTGACGGTGGTACAGCAGCAGCAGCAGCTGACAGTGCAGCAGCAGCAGCAGCTGACGGTGCTACAGCAGCAGCAGCAGCTGACAGTGCAGCAGCAGCAGCAGTAGCAGCAGCTGACAGTGCTACAGCAGCAGCAGCAGCAGTTGACCATGGTACCACAGTATTTCGATAATATTTCTCACCCTTTTTACCACAGGGTTGGCACTAGAAGCTTTCTTGGGGTCCATGGTCACTTATTTTGCAGATAAAATGTTCCGATTGTATGCTTGGATGTTACCGCGGAGGCTGGCTTGTAAACAATGCTACCAGCGGAACATGTGAGGCTGGCTCAGGCCGCACATTAGACGCGTCTCGGACGAATAGTGTTGAGCGGGTTTTTTAGCGGTATGCAAGGCAAAATCTTAGCGATAAAATGTATCGGTATGCGGATTTAACGTTATGTGTTGCCAACGGTATGCGGGGGGTCCACTGTAAAGTGGAACCTCTACTTACGAGCTTAATCCGTTCCATAACCTTGCTTGCATCTAGATTTGCTCGTTTTCAGTCAATTTTCCTCATTTAAATTAACTGAAATGGAATTAATTCGTTCCAGTGGAATTCCAGGCACAACAAAATTCTTCAATAATTTTCCCAATATCAACTCTACAGTTTATTTATCTATCACAATTCACGTAATATGACATAAACAATATCAATAACATAGAAACAGGATATATACACTAGAACGAATAAAATACATGTCATTACGTATGTGGCTAGTGGTGGTGACAGCTGCCATAATTGCTGCTGGGATTTACAGGGCCACTACAGCGGCCATTCCTGCTCCTGACTACATGTGTAGAGAACCTATGATAACCCAGAAAAGTCAGACAGAGCAACTTATAACTGCAACACTCTTAATGCTTCACTTAATTGTTACACTCTTAATGCTACACTTAGTCACTGCTTCTTCATGTTGTCTGCCACTGCTGCTTCATGTTGTCTGCCACTGCTACCTCATGATGTCTGCCACTGCTGTTTCATATTGTCTGCCACTGCTTCTTCATGTTGTCTGCCACTGCTGCTTCATGTTGTCTGCCACTGCTACCTCATGGTGTCTACCACTGCTGCGTAATGATGTCTGCCACTACTACTTCATGTCTGCCACTGCTGCTTCATGTCTGCCACTGCTGCTTCATGTTGTCTACCACTGCTGCTCCACAATGTCTGCCACTGCTGCTTCATGTTGTCTTCCAATGCTACCTCATGTTGTCTGCCACTGCTGATTCATGTTGTCTGCCACTGCTACCTCATGATGTCTGCTCCCACTTTTGGCAAGCCTGTTGAAGAGCTTTCCAATATGTGAAGGTTGAGGGAAGTGCCAATCGAACAGGTAGCAGATGGTCATTTGTTTACTCATGAACCTCGCCAAAGAATCAAACATTTCTGCTAATTTCAGCTCAATTTCAAGGTACTTTTTGTCGTGAAACCAATCAAAATCATATCTATTTCTGTAGTATATCTTCCAGTATATCAAATGAGACCAAAAAAAATGAGAATAAAACCATTAAAACCATACAAAAATACTATACCGCTAAGGGGAGGCTAATGGCTGAGAAGTGAACTCCATTATTTACGGTCCGATGTCTAACATTTTTGGTGTACTCTAAGAAGCATCTTTCAGTTATACATTGCCTAAGTTTCAATAAGATAGTCCAACAAACAACTAAGATCCAATTCCCTAGATCAAGAGCAAGAGCCCCTCACCAGCATCAAGGAACCTCCCTCGAGGCCCACTCACATCTGGAAATTTTGCTCGTGTCTGGAAGCAAAAAATCGACCGAGCGACTGCTAATATCTGGAAAAACTTGCACGTGGATGCACTCGTAAGTAGAGGTTCCACTGTGTATGTACGTATGTACGTACATATGCACATGCACACGCATGTGCGCATGCATGCACACACGCACACGCGCACACACACACGCATGCACATACAAGAGGCCTAGTGTCTAATTGACATGTGCCTAGGACCAAATGGTAAATAACACACACACACACACATACACACACACACACACACACACACACACACACACATACACACACACACACACACACACACACACACACACACACACACACACACACACACACACACACTCACACACACACTCACACACACACACACCACACACACACACACACAACACACACCACACACACACACACACACACACACACACACACTCACTCACACACCACACTCACACACACTCACACACACCACTCACACACACTCACACACACACACTCACACACACTCACACACACACACACTCACACTCACACACACACACACACACACACTCACACACACACACACTCACACACACACACACTCACACACACTCCACACACTTCCTACCTCTGGGTTTTCTTCTGCTTTCTTACTAGTTCTTGTTTACTTCTTATCTCCATAGGGAAGTGGAACAGAATTCTTCCTCTGTAAGCCAGGCGTTTTGTAAGAGGCAACTAAAATGCCAGGAGCAAGGGGCTAGTAACCCTTTCTCCTGTATGTTACTAAATTTAAAAAGAGAACCTTTCATTTTTCTTTTTGGGCCACCCTGCCTCGGTGGGATACAGCCGATTTGTTGAAAGATGATGATATGATACAACTTATACAGACCTAGCAGACATCACTGACATACTATATAGAACACTCCTGGTTGTGCAGAGCATTTCGGGCAATTTAAGTTAACCTTGTCCTCTCAGGATCCGAGTCAAAACAGTCTTTTCACTCTCGGGTACCTACTTACTGCTAAGTGAACAGGGGCAGCAGGTGAAAGGAAACATGCCCAACATTTCACCCATGTTGGAATCAATCCCTGTACCCTCAGTGTGTGAGCTGCGGACACTATCAAGATATCTGAATTGGCAAGACACTCATTCACTGAATGACAATGAAATGCTCTTCCTCTTTTTGGGTCACCTTACCTTGATGGGAAATGGATGAATAATTAAAAACTAAGAAGCCTTAGTCACTATAATTTTCTAAATTCTGCAACCTCCACCTTTCACAGATACAAAATAATGACAATGTTTTATTGGATAATACATTGCACTGTGAAGTGAAGGGGAACAGGAGCCAGAGAAGTGTAAGGGTCAATATTTATTTACTGTAAATGTTTGTTTCTTTTCTTACCACACTAGCCATCTTCCATCAGGAAAGGGTAGACCCCCTACCCCCACCCCAAAACAAAGTAACATTCACCATCATTCACTCAATAGATGTCTTGCCAGATGCCTACATATATCACAATTTAAACAAACCTTGAAAATGCAACATCACCCCTTTCCTCAGTGCAGGCACTGTGCTTCCTGCCTAGAGAACCAAAGTCTGGCTAACTGGTTTCCCTGAATCCTTTTATGAATGTCACCTTGCTCACACACCAACAGTGTGATGAATCCTTCAAAACTACTCGTCTCCCCTCACTCCAATCTAACAAACTCACACAAATTACTACTAAGAATGTGTCAGAAAACTAAGACTTCCCTTGCAGCCACATCATTCAATACACTGGCATGCAAACCATATCAAAATGAATACACATCATATTTGCAATGAGTGTTTAGATAATCTCTAAGTTAATGTGTAAAACAAAATACATAAAGTATATTTCATAATGGTAAGGAATACAGTGCAAAACTACTTACAGAGCTGGCTGAGATGGGTCATCTCCTAAGGTTATGCTGTCTCCCTGGATATCATTAAAACATCTATAGCAGTAAGTATATCTGAAAAAAATATACAGCATTATTATATACTCTTCAACACATGCTATCAGTTTATAGGTTATACATATCAAGCTCAATTTTGTAACATTCAAAGACAAACTTTAACAAATATAAGTACAAACCCTACAAAATAACAACATACATTGAAAGTGTACATAATGATTATTTCAAACTATATTTCCAATACTGTCCCAGCCTGTGCTCAATTAATGATAATGTCTAACTGGCACAGTTAAGAGAGAAACATCTTACAGTCTGCCTCCGCATTTTCAAGTTTAGGGTATGCAATTGTCATCATCAATGGAAATGTCTGCATTTAATATTTAAACTACAGATATAGTATGCAATTATTACATCATACATCAGTTCTCAGTTCTTCATAGTATTGTATACATACTGTAGAGTATATGGAAAAGTGCAAACACTGCTTCAGTGTATTTTGAACCAAATGAAAAATGGCTTAGTTTCACAAGGCAAATTGTGTTTAATTTCCTGGGTCACCATACCTTGTAGATGGTAATGTGGAAAATATAAACGAAACTGACAAGTTTTTATGTTTTTTTAAACAAGTCGGCCGTCTCCCACCGAGGCAGGGTGAAACAAAAAGAAAATACTTTCATCATCATTCAACACTTTCATCTCACTCATACATAATCAATGTTTTTGCAGAGGTGCACAGAACACAACAGTTTAGAAGCATATATGTATAAAGATACACAACATATCCCTCCAAACTGCTAATATCCCAAACCCCTCCTTTAAAGTGCAGGCATTGTACTTCCCATTTCCAGTACTCAAGTCCAGCTATATAGAAATAACCAGCTTCCCTGAATCCCTTCACCAAATATTACCCTGCTCACACTCTAACAGCTTGTCGGGTCCCAAATACCATTCATCTCCATTCATGCTATCTAACACCCTCACTCATGTTGCTGGAAGTCCAAGCCCCTCACCCACAAGACCTCCTTTACCCCCTCCCTCCAACCTTTTAAAGGACAACCCCTACCCTGCCTTCCTTCCCCTACAGATTTATACACTCTCCATGTCATTCTACTTTGACCCATTCTCTCTAAATGACCAAACCACTTCAACAACCCCTCTTCAGCCCTCTGACTTACACTTTTATTAACTCCACACCTCCTAATTTCTACAATCCGAAATCTCTGCATAATATTTACACCACACATTGCCCTTAGACAGGACATCACCACCTCCAACCGCCTCTTTGCTGCAGCATTTACTACCCAAGCTTCACATCCATATAAGAGTGTTGGCACCACTATACTTTCATACATTCCCTTCTTTGCCTCCATAGATAACGCATTTTGTCTCCACATATACCTCAATGCACCACTCACCTTTTTTCCTTCGTCAATTCTATGGTTAACCTCATCCTTCATACATTCATCCGCTGACATGTCAACTCCAAATACAGTGGACCCTCGACCAACGATGGCATCATCTAACGTTAAATCCGACTAGCGCTAAAAAAACTCGACCAACACGATTCGTTCCATCTGAGACGTGTCCACTTGTGGCCAGGGTTTACAAGCCAGCCAGCCACCGCGGTCCCATCCAAACATACAATCGGAACATTTCATATTGTCACAGCGTTTTTAGTGATTTCACCTGCAAAATAAGTCACCATGGGCCCCAAGAAAGCTTCTAGTGCCAACCCTACAGCAAAAAGGGTGAGAATTACTATGGATATGAAGAAAGAGATCACTGCTAAGTATGAAAGTGGAGTGTGTGTTTCCGAGCTGGTCAGGTTGTACACAAAACCCCAATCAATCATCGCTACTATTGTGGCCAGGAAAACGACAATCAAGGAAGCTGTTCTTGCCAAAGGTGCAACTATGTTTTCGAAACTGAGATCGCAAGTGATAGAAGATGTTGAGAGACTGTTATTGGTGTGGATAAACGAAAAACATATAGCAGGAGATAGAATCTCTCAAGCGATCATACATGAAAAGGCTAGAAAGTTGCATGAGGATTTAATCAGAAAAATGCCTGCAACTAGTGGTGATGTGAGTGAATTTAAGGCCAGCAAAGGTTGGTTTGAGAGATTTAAGAATCGTAGTGGCATACATAGTGTGATAAGGCATGGTGAGGCTGCCAGTTTGGACCAAAAAGCAGCTGAAAAATATGTGCAGGAATTCAAGGAGTACATAGACAGTGAAGAACTGAAACCTGAACAAGTGTTTAATTGCGACACTGACAATGTTGTGAAACACTTTAGGAATGTCATAAAGAAACGGGAGGTACAGGCCTCTATGGACAGTTATGTTGTGTGACAGAGGTCTAGTGACTCTCAAGCTGGTCCTAGTGGCATTAAAAGAAGGGAAGTATCCCTGGAAAAGGACTTGACACCTTAAGTCCTAATGGAAGGGGATTCCCCTTCTAAACACTAACACCATACACAGTCTCCCCTCCTCCCATCCCATCAATCATCACCAGATTTTCAATAAAGGTAAGTGTCATGTAATTGTACATGTCTTCTTCAGTTTGTGTGTATTGAAATTAATATTTCATGTGGTAAAATTTTTTTTTTTCAATACTTTTGATTGTCTTGCACGGATTAATTTGATTTCTATTATTTCTTATGGGGAAAATTAACTCGAGTAACGATAATTTCAATTAACGATGAGCTCTCAGGAATGGATTAATATCGTTGGTCGAGGGTCCACTGTATCTGAAAACATTCACTTCTTCCATACTCCTCCTCTCCAATTTGATATCCATTTTTGTCATGTGGGTTCGATAACGTGGATGGGGTAAAAACACTCCTGTAGGCTGGTTAGTACATGCAATTATAACGGAAAGTATGGGAAGCACCATCAGCCGCCCTGCCTCTCTCTGCTCTCTATCTCAGACTGACCCACATGCTATGGTCAGCAGCAACATGAATAGCAGTCAGTGATTCACACAGATAGTTGGTAGTGAGTCATCTACTGGTAACTGGTACTACTGAGAGCTCGGCGACGCTAACGTATGTCGTCCCGACATACAGCTAATACAAACTAGAGATGGCAGGCGTACGGCTTGAGCTGATTCTATACAATGTCAAAGTACACAACAATTGAACATTATAACATAAGGAGAATATTGGAATGGAAGCTTACGTAACTGACTATAATGAAACTTACTGTAATGAAGCTGTAATGCATTACAAGGTATAATATAGCACAACTCATAGAATGAGACTCAACATTGGGATTACACAATGGAGTGATAAAAAAAATTTTGATTGATCGATCTGTATTCACGTGATCTACGGATTCTGAGGAAGAAATATATACAAAGAAAGAAGTGTTTAACAGAAAGGCAGATTCGGTGCACTCAAATCTAGACTGTTAAATCTCAGAATTTGGAGAGAACGTGAACACAAAAAAAAAATTCTTGAATGTTAATAAGCTGATACTGTAATTATTCATCTATACAGGTTATTTACATTTAACCCCAACTCTGCTAGGGTGAGACTGACATATGCAGAATGGGTGTCATCTCTGGGAGGATCAAACTCTGTTGCACTGGCTAACTCATGCTGTATTTTAGGCAAATCTGAATTGGTAGTTACAAATGATACTTGATGATTTCTCAATACCTGTCGTGTACGTAGGGAATAACGACATTCAGGTTGATCGTCTGACTGAGTATCAGAGGTAGAGAGTACAGGATCAGGAGGATTGTCAGAGTCTGTCACATTAGTCTGGGTTGGAACATCATTATCATCACATACTAACTTCATATAATCTAAATGCGATTCTTCATACTTTCTCTCTCTCTCTCTCAAGTCGGCCGTCTCCCACCGAGGCAGGGTCACCCAAAAAAGAAAGAAAATCCCCAAAAAGAAAATACTTTCATCATCATTCAACACTTTCACCACACTCACACATTATCACTGTTTTTGCAGAGGTGCTCAGAATACAACAGTTTAGAAGCATATACGTATAAAGATACACAACATATCCCTCCAAACTGCCAATATCTAATTTCTCTAACCTTATACTTATTGCCAGTGATATGTTCAACTACTCGATAAGGACCAACAAACTTTTGATCAAGCTTAGGCATTGCAGACGTTTGGTTAAAGTTAGTCAGCATAACTCTCCAACCTACTTAGATTTTGGATGGCTTTGCTCGAGTGTTTGAGACTATTGTAAATTCTGCTGTTGATTTATGAAGTGTTTCACGGATTCTTCTAAAGACGCTTTGAGCTAAGCTGGTACGAATTGCTATGAAATCATCAGGGTTGTAATTTGGTTTTGGATTAGAATATAGCAACTCATAAGGCAAGTATTTATCTACACCGTACAATGCATAATGTGGAGTGTCACCTATGGAAACATTGTAAGCAGAATTTATAGCACACTGCACATCAGGTATAACTTCATCCCAAGTTTCACTGTTGGGATTGATAGTGGCTCTCAAGACATCAACTACTTTCTTATTGGTTCGTTCCGCTAACCCACTGCTGGCAGGATGAGGAGGAACAATGGTGAATTTAGAGATCTTGTACAAGGTACACAAATTTTCAAGAATCTCATTACAGAATTCACCTCCATTATCTGTTACTAGGGACTTAGGGGTGGTATGCCTGCAGATAATGCGTTTGTTAAATGCTTTAGCTACTGTCTCGGCAGTCTTATCTGCAATAGGAACTAACTCACAATATCTGGTGAAATGGTCTACCATAACACACACGTTTGTTGCCCTGGAGGGAACATTGGAAATTAGTTAACAGATCTAGCGCAACTCTTTCCCACGGTTCGCTAGTAGTCGGATACACTTGGATTGGATTAGGACCATTAGCATTACCTTCATGTTTCATGCAGACACTACATTTCTTAACATACTCAGAAATATCAGTTGCCATACGAGGCCAAAAGTATTTAAATCTGGCTTGTTTTACTGAACGATCCATACCAGGGTGCACAACACCTGGTACATCGTGAACTAGCTGTAAGGCTACATTCACTAGTGACTGTGGAATTACTAAC